AATCGATTTAAATAACTTTAAAACGGAAATGTCTAAACGAGGAAGACCAACTATTGAAAAATATTTCAATAAAAATTTTAATTAATTACCATAGAACAAAACCTTGGGTCAGGTATATGAATTTCTTTAGTATTAAATTATAAAAAAAAAAAATACAAGTAGGGGGGGGGGNTAAGCTTCGTTCGTTATTTCTGTTTCAAAGCTATTTCAGTCCTCTTTCATATGGTACCAAATTCGTTGAATGAGGATAATTCAATTTTTAAATTCAAGTACTAAAAAAAACATTATTAAAAATTACTAACCTTTCCATTTTTTATTTACCTAAATCACCTAATTTACTTATCTAAATTATTTCATAAAAAATTACTTGAAATCCGCACTCGCATCCGCATCCGCGGATGTTTGCTTTTAAACACCCGCATCGGCGGATGTCTAAAATTCCACATTCGCAAGATCCCTTATATGTACATACATACATCCATATAGTAGTATTTAATTCAATTTAAAGAAATGGCGTGTCGTCCATTTCCCCTGTAGCGTATGTAGTGCATATTTTTAGGCTCAATATATAACTAATTGCGGCGGGGCGACTGAGTTTCGTTTATTTGGGAAAATAATCCCAAAACTCAACGGCATTTGAAAGAGTAAATAAAGCTCATACTTTTATATAATACTAATATAAAATATAATATAAAGGTAGTAAAACTCTCCATAAATCAATATGCTCAAAAAATAAAAATTAATAAATAAATAAATTAATAAATTTTTTTTTACTAAAATTGCAATAATCTTCGAAAGTATTAGTCCTACATAATTTGGTATATGGACCTTTTTTTTGTAGAGAATTGAAGTTAGCTAAGAAAATACAATTTTTTAGTACTTCAACTTTGATGGACTTGGGCGAGCCTAGGATAATGACCAAACATTTTCACATTTTACACAGATTTTGTAGAGCATAATGAACCATATTTTTGCTATTACCAATCGAAATTCTAAAAAAGCGGAATTTACCAAAAATGGCAACCGTGATTAAAACACAGTTTGAGAAGGCTTTATTTCCGAACTGTATTTAGGAGTTTTGTCACGTATTCAATGTCGTTCGAATGGACAGAAACGCTCCAGCTCTGAAAGTATTCAACGCGGGTCGCCATACTGTGTTGAAAAGAACTAGTCGAGAAGGACTTGGCTTCACTTGCCATTGCCAATTGACGTCAGTTAGCACAGTAGAGAAACGACTGGCGGGCCAATAAAAAAGAAGAAGTCCGCGAAATCCCGAAATGTTCCCGAACAGGATCTGAAATGGTCCTGAGATAGCCATGAACTAGTCCAGAAATGTTTATTTGTACACACAAGAAGCTTTACAAATCTTCTGCTTGGTTAACGAAAATTTTACCCATACCGACAGCTAAATTGTTTACACATCAATAATGGGTACGCAGTTTTATAGCACATTCGATTTGAATACAATAAATTGCAAGCTTGAAGTTGATAAAAAATCCCAGTGATTTGTGATAACTCTTTTTGTTGGCGGTGCTACGCATTTTCGACATAAAACAAAAATTCCGGCATGTTTTATATGTACATACAAATATATGTAAATACTTGATACCAACAGGACACTTTAGTTCTAAGAAAAAAAATTTAATTTACAGTAAAATTCATTTTGTATTAAATATCATTTGAAAGAATGAAAAGAGAATTTATTTACATTGCAGTACACTTGTTTCACTTCTTCTTGAATTTTTTAGTTATATTATAACATCTTGTTCAAACTCTAACTGCCGTAGTTTTATTTTTCAACGCACATGTTTACTGAATACTTCCAGCCAAATAAATAAAAGTGCCACAGCAAAATAGGCCACCAAGAGTACCACCACGGTTGTGGGATCGGCCGAGAAAATTGAGCCGATCAGCAGCACTGAACCAGTCACCAATACCGTGAAAAGAAAGCAAACCATCACCACCGATTTAAAATCATGATACCAAGCAAGGCTCGGGTCAGGCGGTGCCGGTCGCACAATCTTCGAAGGCCGATATTCCTGCAGGTATTGCGTCTCGAACCCGCTGCTGAAATCGACTTCGTCAAGCGGCTGCTTAGCCTTCTCCTGTTCCACATCCAAAGGCATAATTGCACTTATTTATTTTTACTTTTCCAGCAGTTGTGATGTAAAATGTTTTATTTTTAAACGTTCTGAGTTCTAGCACTTTTCGTATTTGTGAAGAATTTTCAAAATATAATTGCCAATGTACTAAAAAATAGTCCGTCACCTCTGCACCGTTCAATGCAGTCCCTTTTCCACAAACAATATGCAACACCAGACAGTGGGCGCTATGGATTGTCCCCCATCAACCGCCTAACAGAAAAAGAATTAAAGGTGCCAATAAAAATAGTAGCTACTTATAATATGAAAGCACTTATCGAGCTTTGTTAACGTTGTGAACAATGGCAATAGTACAGATATAAGTAACGGG